CTCAATGTCGGAACGTTCCGAAGATGACGTCGGAGCGTTCTCGAATCCCGTGTCTCTCGGCTGCTGCTGCCGAAGGAACAGGGAAAAAGCAACAAGAAGGAAGAGCAATGGCGACACTGGATCGCAAAGTGCCCAGTCCGGAGGCGTTTCTGGGAAAACCCTGGTCCTCCTGGATCGACGCCGCCAAATTACACTGCTCCGACAGTAAGAACCCCACCGCCTCCTCCTCCTTTATTATCCTGTAACCCTTCCATTCACCTAGAGCCACTGGGAAAAAGTGTGTGTATGAGAGAGAGAGTGGCCCCCGGTGTCCTCCATGCTTCTCCCTCTCTCTAAATAAACACACAGAGACAGATCATCAGTGCACGGAGAGAGGCCCGGCTGCCAGGGCTGTCTGTCTGTCTGTCTGTGCCCGGCTCCCGGTGGCAGCACGCGGGGTGGGCTTTCATAGCCCCACCGTGTGTCTCTGTTTAAAAGGCTACTCTGTCGCTGCTTGCATAGTTTTTTGGGTACCTATCTGGACCAGGTAGATGGAAACCCCGACTTGGGAGAAAATGTTGCATTGTCAAATTTTGAAAGATTTTCATATACAATATTTCTATCGGTCTGTTTGCAAATAAACACTCTCCCTCCCCCCCTGACTTTGGCTTTTTTTTTTTCTTCCCCTTTTCCCCCTCTTTTTTCTTATTTCTTTTTCCCCCCTCCCTTTTCTTTTTCATCTGCAGATGTAGATTTAGAAGAGACTGGAAAAGAGGGTGGAAAAAGCAGGGAGGTTATGAGGCTTAATAAAGAAGGTAAGTGGGGCTACTGGCATTTTAGTGTTAGCCTGTGTGGCAGAATATCTTCACAAGATCTCGAATATAATGTGAATTGTTCAGCTGGGTACAGAGTGACGAAGGCTTGTCAAAATTGAGCACGCCCAGGTGATGATCAATTCGTGTTAACTTCTCTGAAAGTGTAAATACAACTGGGGGGCAGAGAAGGAAGACTGGAAGGCAGAAGTTTTCTGCACTTCAGTGGAGTCCACACTCGGACCCTCAGATGTTGGGTCCGTCACCTTCGGGGCATCGTTGCCGAATGGTGGAGGGTCAGAACCTCAGACGTGAGAACTAAGAGCCCCATCCCAAGCATCCCAAAGCTCCTGCCTTGTGGGTACACGCACCACAGTTTAAGGAACCCCACGCGGTCAGTCGTTTCAGCAGCTCCCTCTCCACTCGCCACTGAAAGCCGTCGTACATGGCAAACCTTTCCAGCAAGTCACACGTGGCCCACTTTGCATTCAGTCGCAGATTGTTAAGTGGTATGCAGAGTCGGGGAGTCTGTGTGCACAGCATTCCCACCCCCACCCCACCCCTCGGCCCCTGCCCCCAGCCCATCTCTCTTTTCCCAGCATGGAAATAGCAATCCTTGACGTGGAACGTTGTGAATAGATAGGTCCTCTCAGACTCAGAGGAGTGAAGCCACAGGCTGATGGAACTGGGCCTTAGACACACGTGGCTATCGTACATAAATGATATCCCGTTGGCTTGGGCAAGCCTGCCATGTCTAACTGGCCAATGGGCTTCCATGGACCGCCTCCGGAGGCCACTTTCTGCTGAGCCAGTAGGTGAACTGTGGTTCCCGAACTGATGTCTTAACACACCACTGGCTGACATTGGGAGTGAGGGGAAGGCAGAGAAGGGTGGTGAGAAGTGAGAAGGAGCTCAGGTTTTACTGGGCAGTAGGAGCACTATTGGCCCAAAAGGAGTGGCAGAAGGGGCCATCCAATGCCCAAGAAAGGTCTCTCTCAGAAACACCGACGTCGACCCTGTAAGGCAGCTGAATCCTGCTTGGAAAGAGGCAATTGGTTTCGTGGACTGACGTCTATCCCAGTCAGCTTTCCGTGCCCAAACATTTTCTGACCATCCAGTGAGAGGGAAAATTGTGCTTCCAAAGGAGAAAGCCAACCCCTGGAGGTTCAAATGCATGCTCAAGGACAGGGCTCTAGCATAATGCGTCTGCTAATTAAGCAGTTTGATTGGGAGCAAAGCCTCATTCTACAGATGTTTGCCACTAAATTTCTCAGTGTGATCTTGACGTGTGTCTTCAGGATGCATGAGGGGATGATGTCCCGTGGATGTTCTGACAAGTGGCTGCCGAGTTGTTTAGTGACTGTGGGAACAGCCACTGAGATTGGGTTTTGCTTCGCCAACTCTTGAGATCTTTATAAGCTCGTGGGACTCTGTTCTCAGACCAGCAGCCATGAAAAGTTCCCATGGACGATGGTGACGGGTAGAAAACCCTTGAAGTTGAGTATAAAGGTCAGTGGCTGGCGAGGATGGGCACCACTCGGCCTGGCTGATGGATTATGACCTGAACACGAGAAACCCACATTCTGTTCCCTCCTTCTCTTCTATTTCAAAAGATGCTTGTTCTCAGATTCCCTGTGCCTCATGAGAAATAGATTCTTTTAAGGAAAAATGAAACGCTCTCCTTTCCTCAGAAGTCACAAGCGGTACATCCTGCTTATTATGTCCTTTGTCCTGTAAAGGTACAAAGATTTAGCTCCTAATTATATGCATTTGCATTAAGGACACCCACTGTTCAGTGTAACATGCAATTGCTGAGTTCACCAAAATAGCCACGTATGGGCTGAAATCTCTTTGTTCGCGGCCTGGTGGAGCAGACTTGGGTGAGCACGTCTCGCAGTCCTGCTGGCACGGGCACTGGGTTTTCCTTATGGATGAAATAGGCACAGACTAAATACCTCTGCCCCGATGGAGTGGATGTCAGGGCCCAGCGGAGACCCTGTGTCTGAGCCTTTGGTTGTCAGACTCTCCAGGAGGCCTGGGTGTGTTCGTCTTGGTGGAGTTACCCCTGTGTGTGGATGCTCCGCTGCAGGACACAAAGTGGCCTGTGTGCGTCTGTGTGTGAGCCCGTGTAGCTTCACCAGGACCCCCGCTGAAAGTACGCGGGTCTGGAGAAGAGATTTGGGTATGCATAGGACTGAAAGAATAAAATAAGTTTGGCAATCCCCATAATGCAATGAGGAGATTTTGATTCCGATTTCAAGGTGATATGTGTTTTAGACGGGGCTCAGGGAGGGACGGTGGGCTGGGACTCGGCAGTGAGCATCATGTCACCTTGTGCCTCTGTCTGGCTACGGCCTCCAGAAGACGCTTGCTGACTTTCTCAAGAACCGACGGTTGTGATAGGGTTCCTCCCCCATTGTTCACGCCTATTCCTTCTCGGAGATCTTGTGTCTACCTCTTATCAGGTGTGACATGGCAGTAAGCAAGGCTTTCCCTCGGTATGATTACTTCACCCCGGCTTCGCTGAAATATTTGTGGCCAAGAGAGATTTGGCTAATCCACCTTCCCTTCCTCGGGCTTTTGAACCTGGCCACATCCTGACGTGGGTTCAGAAGGTGGTGCCAATACCTTGCTTAGATGTGGGGCTGGGGGACACATCTAGAGCCATGAGAAGGCAGGAGGGACAGCTGGGCTTCTTCATTCCCAGTGGGTGACCTTGAGAACGTCATGTCCTGTCTCTGGGCTGGTGGCCTTACCTGCAAAGTACAGATGGAGCAGGGACCCTATAAACTCCTTGGTCCCTTTGGGGCCTCTGAGCTTAAGCTTCCCTTTTGCATATACTTATATTTGAGATGCAGTCATACCAAATGGCGTTTTAAAAGAAACTGCCACCCCCCCCCAAAGAAAGAAACAAAACCTTTAAATCAGAAATATATTGTTTAATCATTTTATTGGGGGCTCGTGCAACTCTTAGCACAATCCATCCATCCATCCATTGTGTCAAGCACATTTGTACATTTGATGCCATCATGGTTTTCAAACATTTTCTACTTGAGCCCTTGGTATGTATCAGCTTCTCATTTTTCCCTTCCCTCCCACACCCGCCGTCCCTCATGAACCCTTGATAAGTTATAAATTATTATGTTTTCATATAAATCAGAAATCGTTTAAAGCACTTCATACTGGCTGATTTTCTCGTTGCATGTAGCCTGTTGGTGGTAAGAATCATTGTCTTGTATGCAAGCATATTTGGAAGAATCTGAGCTCTGCAAGCCATTAGGGTTGGTGTGTGGCCGTCGGGCCTGGGAAGGGAGAGAGTGCCAGGTCCCTGAGTAATGCGCATCTCCCACTGGTGAGTGAGCTGACCTCCATCAGCTTGGCCGGTCAGGCGTTTGGATTTCCTGAGAGGACAGTTCCCAGAAACCTTATTCGCCTAATCTAAGATGTGAAATGTGTTTATGGTAAAAAATAAATTCCAAGGGAAGACCATTTGTCTCTGCTAACCAAATTTTATCTCTGCAGCTTAGTAAATTTATCTGAAGACTCTCGTTAAGTGTGAGGGAAAACTCTCGGTGGTTTCGGGAGACCGTCCCCTTGTCTCCTGGCAGCACGTGAACGCCAATTCACAAACACGGAGCCGCGCTCTGGTGGCTGGGGGTCCTTCAGGGTGTAAGACGGGCATAACAGCAGGGTTTGTGGTTAGGGCTAACGAGAGAAGACACAAGGCGCACAGTTTTAAGTGCTTAAATAATGTTTATTTCTATTGTTCCTTTTCTCCCTATTATTATGATCACCCTTATTATTATTAATGAAGCCAGTTGTAAAAACTTTCCTATTATTAGTAACTGGGACTTTTAACTAAGGAGGAGATATATTGTATCAGATACCTCATTTACAGGATGTTTCAAAACTATTTTATCGTTTGTAAAGCTAATGGTTTGTTTAAAGCAACTTTCTGTGAATACTATACTTTTCAAGGGAGCATATTTAAGAAGTGGCTGTCCAAGTCTCGTTGCGGGTTAGAGGAAACTACTGGGGAGTTTGAGGGTTAGAGGAAACTACTGGGGAGTTTGGGGCCTCGGCCAGGAGGAGTTTACGAAGTTCTTTCTGGGGACCCCTGCTGTTGTTAGGTGCCCTCAAGTCGGTTCTGACCCACGGCAACTGTGTGTGTACCAGAAGGAAACACTGCCTGGCCCTGCGCCAACCTCACAATTGTTGTGTTTTTGGCCAGTATGGCAGCCACTGTGTCCGTCCATCTCTCTTTAGCTGACCTTCTCCTTTATCCAGCATGAGGTCTCTCCCAGGGACATGTCCAAAATACACGAGAGGAAGTCTCGCCAGCCTCACTTCTAAGGCGCAGTCTGGCTGTACTTCTTCCAAGACAGATTGGCTTGTTCTGCCGGCAGGCCATGCTATTGTACGTGTTCTCTGCCAGCACCGTCGTTCCAATGTACGCGTTCTTCCTCGGTCTGCCTATTCGCTGTCTAACTTCCGCATGCATCGGGAGCGGTTGAAAAGAGCATGGCTTGCGTCAGATGCCCCTTAGTCCTCCGTGAGAGCCTTGTTTTTCAACACTTTGAAGAGGCCTTGTGCAGCAGATTTTCTGCCTCCGGGAGCATTGATTGTGGATCCCAGCAAGATGAAATCCTTGATAATTTCCATCTTTTCTCCCTTTATCATGATTATGATCTGTTGGTCCAGTGGGAGGATTTTGGTTTCCCCACACTGAGTTGTAATCCACGGCTGCAGTCCTCGGTCTTCATCAGCAAGGGCTTCAAGTCCTCCTTGCTTTCAGCCAGCACAGTTGTATCATCTGCATATCGCAGCTTGCTAATAAGCCTTCCTGCAATCCTGATACCTCCTTCTTCCTCATGTAGTCTAGCGTCTGGGAGCTAAAAAAAAGTTGTAAAAGGGATGGGTAAATTATTTCCTCTCCTCCCTAAGCAAATGATGGGTCCATGCTTGGGTCTTCTGGAAGCCTACATTTTCCAGGCATTTGACTA